AAACCCACTAGCTAATCCCTGTGCACCTATCGTAAATGGCAGGAATGTATGGATGCTATTGGCGCTCTTCTAGATGATATTCCAGCGAATTGGAGACAGGCGGCTAGTCTTTTGTTGCCGCTGAGTGTAGAATCTAGGGAAGCGATGGTGCCCCCTATTGAGTCGGTTACCCAAACCCTAGTGTCGAGGCTTGGTTGGAGATGGGGTGTAGGGCCTCCAATCCGATTCCAACATTTATCCGTTAAAATAGCGACTAATATGCAACTTTCACCTTTTTCGATGGCTCGCCGTGTGGCCCATACCCTTTTCATCAAAGAGGCGACGGGTTCTTCTGAGATATTGGATGAAGCTATTCTTCTTTTGCAACGGACATTCCATCGTTTATGGTTTCATTTACGGTGGGAAAATGAACAAAAAGAGGTTTGGTGGCGTCTCGCGGTTGATGGGGTGCCTATGTTAGGAAATTCCCATCTTAGGATGTCGAGCCCAACGATATGTGGTTGTGGAGGTTATCCAATAGGTTCAGTGGGAGGTGTATCCCCTCGCTATCATCATTTCTGGCCCTGTCCGGTGGCACAGGCAGTAGCAGATCAACTTACTCTTTCAATAGGAGTGCCAGTCTCAAGGGAGCAACTTTGGCTTATCCAAGCCCCACAATCAGTGCAACAATGTGTTTGGGATGTTGTGGCTCTTGCTGCGGTGTCAGCCATGGAGCATGGGAGACGTTATATGGCTGCAAACATGAAAACCAACCCGGCACTGTTACCTGGCCCTTCCCTTACGGAAGAAGCAATTTGTCGAGTTATTGTTGACTTTTGGGGCCGCATTCAGGGTTTCGCAGCTTTGGGAATTCCACGGAATGGTTGGGATTCCGTTGGCGCACATCACCCCTTCTTGAGAATTATATCTGGCAAATTACTGTGCTCGAGAGAGCGGTTACCGATGAGAGGTTAATTATCTGAGGTGATAATCTTTTGGTATATTAGTCTCTACTGCAGTGCACGGCCAGCTGGCCCGATGGCTCTACTCTTCGGAAGTCTGGAGCCCACTGTAACAACCACACACACACAGCAGTGGCACAAGCCGTGCTGGACGAGCGGCTGTTCCAGCAAGCCAGACGGCTTGGCCTATATATTGGACACGATGGACTCAAGCATTTTGTTGGATTATGTTACACGATAATGTTGGGGGATGGCAGGCGGGAGAAATTTCCTACAACCTATACACCGATTTATCGCTCCGCGTTACAGTAGCCAGCCAATAGCTTGGCTGGGTAATAACAAACCGCTTGTGAAACCCCCTCCCAACACCAACCCATTGTGAATGTTGC